TCTGCCAATTTAATGACAATTCATTAGACAAGTAAAAGTTTGAGAGATGGTGTAAAACAAGACCCTGAAGTTCAGCTAAGTTGGCTCTTGCTTGCCTCATCAAAAAGCTTTGCCCAGCGATTCTTCTGAAATAACTCTTCTAGGCAAGCCAGGGTCCCTCATTCATTGTGTTGGTACGCAGGCTCCTTTAACTGCCAGTTTTGTTCTGCACTAGAGATGGGAACAGGGTTCATCCTGTTCTCAGCTCTGTTTTTGTTGTTCTTTCTTGCAGAGAAAATCAGTGCCTTGTTTGCTCTCCCCATCACTAGGGCCCTGGTTTCTTCTCGGACTATGTGTCAGCAGGTTAATAGGTTCACCTCCGCACTGGCAAGGCTGGCCAGGTGACTGTGTCTGTGTGGACATGCTGTTTTTGCTTTTCCTGCAGCTGTTTTTGCAAGGCCTCTGCCTAATTTGCATTTTTTCTGTTTAAAAACAGTGATTTTTCCCTTTTGAGTCATCTTTATTTTTGAGCCATCATTAATTTTCTCTCCCTCCTTGTTTATTAATAGACCTTTTCACTTTTGTGCTGATTCTGCCTGGGTATATTTGTAAAGTCCTTTGTATTCCCCTTAGCATTCTGGCTGTTAACTCCTGCTAGTTTGTTGTTCCTCTCCCCTGCCCCTCTGCAGTTGTGAGGGGACACCATTGACTTACAAATCATCTTCCTATCTGGAATGTTCCCCTTTTCTTGTGCCAGGTATCTCCTAAGAGCATCTATTCCAGGTGTCTCCTAAGAGTATTGCAAGTGAAAGGCACGATTCAAATCTCTCTCAGTACCTTTGACGCTTTTGCCACCTCCTCACATAGCCAGTCTTTGCTGTGGCTGCTGGAGAGCTCTTTCTCCTGGCAGCAGGGGACAGGATGTCTTAAAGCCCACAGGGCTGCAGGCAGGAGTTGGATAGAATGCAGCTCTTGGCTCCTTGAATGCTTTACTTTGCCTTGTACCCGTGACTGTGTTCGTGCCTTTGCTCCATCTCTACCACGTATCCAGGTCCTTTCCTGGCCCTGTTGCCTGCTGTTGAGCCAAGTGGCCTGGGCTGGAGCTCTGCTGAGAGCAGGAGAGGTGCAGGGTAGCCAAAACCTCTGGCAGTCCTTGCCCAGGCTGCTGGGGGCTGGTATTGTGCAGTTGGTAAGTGTGCCGTGGCACGTGCCTGGCATGGGATGAGTCCTGCAAGTGGCAGGTTCCCCAGTGGAGCTGTTTAGAATCTCCTTGTACCTGCCTTTTTATTAATCTTGTTATTGTAGTTATTTTTTTCCCCTTCAAAGAGCCCGGTCTGCTGCAGGCTGTAAAGAGTGACATTGTGGTGTGCGAGCTGCATGCCAAGGCTGCGTGAGGTCCCCAAAGGCTCCTGGTCCCCCAGTATTGCCACCTCTGTTCACTGTCAAGGCTTTAAGGTTATCTACTCTCTCAGTGGGAATATGGATTGAGTGGAATTAGAAACCTCGAAGGCTAAAAATACAGCTCCCTGCCAGGAAATGCGGCAGCCTGCTGAGAGGGTGCTGTGTGGCACTGAGACTTCTCCAGGAACTGGCATGTTCCACATCAGCACCAGAGCCCAGCATCCATGCCTGTTCCTAGGTTCCCTGAGCAGGACTGTGGCTGGCTTGCTCTTGTTTGTGGGGTTCTTCCCTGGACAGGACAGGGAGAGAAATCAGGGAGAACACTGCCTGTGTGTGCTGCAGATGTTCGCTCGAGGAGGAGCACAGGCTGGCACATGATCGGGCAGCTGTCTGAGACCTCACAAACACACACCATGGGCACAAGCTCCCCGTGAGCAGTGTGTTCCTGGGAACAGTGCAAGAGGAGCCTGTGCCTTCAGGGAGCTTTGGCTGCCTATTGGCTGATGATCCAGCATCCTCCTGGCCATGCCAGGCTATGTTGTGGTGGGCTGGTGGGCTTTACATGCCGGACAGCTTGGCAGCACTCCTATCACCACTTTTACCATGGTACCATGGCCTTTCCCTGCTTGGTGCCAGAGTGCTGAGTTGTTTTTTTAGGTAGGTCCATAAAACAGGACAGCATAAAACACCTGGGGTAGCATAGGCCTTTTTGGGAATGCACTGCCCGTTGCTGACTGTCTTTGTGGGGCAAGCTTGGTCCCAGACTCTGGAAGTGGCAGGGTTTCCCTGCCTAGCGTAGTGTGAATGAGACCCAAAGCCAGGGCCATTGCTCTGTCTCCCAGAGCATGAAATCAGTCGGTACCGACCCGTGGCTGTGGCATCGATGAAGTGTGTAATAGGCTGGGGGCAGGAGCTGTGCTGCCCTGTGGGGAAAAAACAAAGCACTGCAGCATCCCTGCCAGTGTGGGTCATCTACCATCTTCCTGTGCTTCCCAGGCTGCAGGAAGCAGCTCTTCCTCAACAGTGTATGGCAGGCAGAGGCAAAGCTGTGCAGGGAGAGGATGCTCCCAGCACCAGCCGTCTGGCTAATGCTGCACCATCTGCTTTGGAGGGTGAGGCAAGGTGAATGGCAAGCTTTTGAGGAGCCCATAAATCCTATGTGCAAAGGCTCTTGGAGGTGACATGGGATGTGCATGGAGCAATGCTGCTTCTGGTTGCTCCCTGTGCTGGAAGTTGTCAGGAAGGAGAGCCTGAGGAGATCATTGACCCCCACAAAACATTCAGCTATGAGCCATGGTCTGGGACTCTGGGCTTGGCTGGGAAAAGTCCTTTAGCAGAACATGCTTCAGTGCCTTGGAAGCTATCTGTGGTTGGAATTGGTGGTGGTGGGGGTGCCTCCAGTGCCCCCTCCCCTCTGGCACTCGGTCTGCCACTCGGTGAGAAAATGTATAATGCCTCAGTGTTGAAAAATGACTAATCCAGTCCTTGGAAGGTTTGTAGGATACATTCCTTTCTTGCGGTCGATAAAGATAAAGGGGATCGTTCTGCCAGCAAAATTAGTGTATCAAAGAGGGGGAAAAAAATGACAAGAGCTACAGAGACAGAAAAATGATTGGGGCAGCCCTGGGAGGGTGCTTAACATCACCACTGTGCCCGTGCCTGCACCTCGTGTTCTTGCCCACCTTCGCAGCATGAGGTGCAGGCACAGGTGCCGCAGTCATGCTAGGGGTGATGCCCTGCTGGGCTTTTCCAGCGGTTTCCAGAGAGCCTTGAGAGACTCATCCATCGTGCCAAGGCAATGGTCTGTCCATCCATCAGGAAGAGGGGATGATGCCATGTGGCATGGGCAGCCCCAGCCACTTTCCAGCCAGTGGTTGGCCTCCCCTCGCCTTCCCAGCACCACTGCTGGCTGTTGATGAGGGGCCACGGCGAGCGTTCGCGCCTCGGTCAGGGGCTGTGTGGAGGGGAGGCTAATGTACCGGAGGTGCCTCGGAAATGAGAGCCTTGGATGGGTTCCTGGCCCTATTGATCTGCCGGCAGTTTATGCATCCTGACATTCATAATCTCGCTCGGCGCTGATGGTCCAGATTAATGGGCCCAGGGGCTGTCCATCCGTCACTTCACATTAATTACTGAAGAGGTGTTTTTCCAGTGATTTACCTGACAGCGGCCTGTGATGAATCCCCCTAAACGGAGTGGGCAGTGATTAATCATGGGGCCCCAGTCCAGCCCCACTCTGCCTTCCCCTCAACCACAGTGCAGCCCCCCGCACCATCCGTCTCCATAAACCCTGTCTGATGCATATTTATAGGGGCAGGGGGGCCTGGCCGCTTGCGGTGTGCCTGCTTCTGCCAAAGATGATGAAAAATAAATCTCGGTCGGGACAGGGCAGCAGGTGAGCAGGGCTGCAGCATGCCAGGGTCCTGCGCCAGGGTATCCCTGCACTGGGGTTTGCTTTCTGTTGTTCTGTGGTTTTGATGCCTGAGTAGTGCACGGTCTCAGTGTTCTGCTTCAGCTACAGACACTGGTCCCTCGGGCTTGAGGGTCCCAGGTAGCAGCTGCCAGAGCGGGGAAGGTGCCTTAGTGATTCTGTCAAGATTTCCCTGCTTCCCCCAAGCCAGATGCGCCCCACCAAAGGCTGTAGAGCTGTGGGGTGCTCCAGGCCCCAAACCCTCTCTGCAGATCCGCTGCTGTGGGGCAGTATTGGGGCTCCATAATCCATCATTGCGTGCCAGCTACTGAGGGAGCAAGAGTGAGTGCTGGGACCCTGACTCAGTGACCTGGGCAGGGGCTGCTCACTGTGCACTCAGCTGTGGGGCTGTTGGGCTGCGGGCAGGACAGTGACACTGTTCTCTCGTTGGCAGGCAGTGGTGGCACCATGCAGCAGGAGGCGGAGGGCAGCCGGGTGCGCCGCAGGAAGCCCGACATGGCCCTCTACGTGCCCAAAGCACGACGGGAGAGAGAGGCACAGGCGACAGGTGACATACGGGTTGGGCACCGCCAGGAGCCTGAGAACCACCGCCTGCTGCAGGACTCAGGCTGGGCCAGTGGCGAGCGGCAGAGGCAAAGCCCCCGTGCCAGAACACAGGCAGGCAGAGCAGCAAGGAGGGAGAACAAGGTGGATGTTGGCCCAAGGGAGCTGCAGATAGCCTCTGCCAGGCACAGCCATAGGACGAGAGGCAGCTGCCCTGTTGCACTGGAAAGCCTGGAGGCCTCACCCAGCATCTGTGAGCCATGCCCAGATCCAGCTCTTGCTCAGCCCTGGGACAGGCAGGACAAAACATCTCATGAAGAACCTGGAGAGCTGAGCCACGGCCACAGGATAATAAGGACTGAGCCTGATCCTCCATCCCCACAGAGTGCCCACACTGTGAAGGCAAACCCCGAGCCTGGGGATGACCCCACTAGCCCAACACCTGCTGCTAGCCCAACTGTGATTTGTCAGACAGGCCCGAGTGACATGTTGGAGCACTTGGGGGGCAGCACCCTAGATCCAGCTGGGGACCTCTCCCAAAGCCTGGGAGAAGCTGCCCTGCAGTCAGCAGGGGTGGGCAGCCATGGCAGCTTGCCCCAGTTGCGGGGGGAGACAGTGGGTCTGAAAGCTGGGGAGGAGGAGAGGGAGGAGGAGAGGTCTCTTCTGGCAGAGCAGAGCATAGGTTGTGCCACTGGGGTACCAGAGGAAGAGGAGATGTCGGGAGGCAGAGCTGAGCTTCCTGGGGAGAGCACCTTGTGTGCACCAGGAGCCAGCTGTGAACCTGTGTTCTTGAGAAGTAGCATGGGCGATGTTCCAGTACTGCCAGGGGGGAACACTCCACAACAGGACATGGGCAGCCCATCCCAGCTCCTGCCTGTCACGGAGGAGAGCACTGCTGGTGCTGGGGAGCCCAGTGGGGAGGATGACCTGGTGCCTGCTGTAGAGGAAGCAGGCAGCACTTCAGCCTGCACAGATAACAGTGCTGAGAGCAGCCCGTGGGAGGGAGCACCTCTGGAAAGGTGTGATCCCCCACCGCCCCTAGAGCTGCTATGCCATGGCATGGAGGGGATCTCACCTGCATCCTGGGCCAAGGAGCTGTCAAGGCCAGATGAGGATGTGGGCTCGCTGCAGAAGCACCAGGAGGCTGAGAAGGAAGAGAGAGGTCTCCACAGCAGCTCCTCTAAGGAAGGACAGACCAGTGCCAGTGCTGAAACCCTGAGCCAGACCAGCCCAGGTGCTGAGGAGAGCTGGGATATGCTGTTCAACGATGACGGGGACTGCCTGGACCCACGCCTGCTGGAGGAGGTACTTCTGCAAGCCACTGTTTGTGGGGATTTTCAGGGGTGGTGACTGGTGCCCGCTGGGATGTGGGAGATGTCTGTTCCTCTGTTCTCTGGGGTGAGTGCATGAGGGGGGTGGGCTGCACCCAGGGCACGGTCAGCCTAGCTGGCTGTTCTGCCTGCTCTTAGAGCCAGCCTTCCTCTGTGGTGCCAAAACACCTGGGATCTCCATTTTCCCACATCTGTCCCATCCCCATCCAGTGTTGCTAGGGAAGGCTGGACTGGTCGTCCCTCTGTAGTACATAAAGTGTGCCCAGTAAAACCTGCTGAAATGCTGTAAACTGCAACTGCACCCTCATGAAACCAGGGCAGGTGATAAAGAAATGGGCTGAGATATATGGGATTCCATTGAAACAGCAACGGGATGTTTCCTCAAAACTATGGCTTCTTAATCAGCTGTGGCTCATTGCCATTCCCTCCTGCACACATGCTGCTGAATTTACTACAGTTGGCTGCTTAGTGCTAGGACCCACACCGTTTTGCTGCCATTCATGAGGAAAGCTGAGCTCCTGCAGCAAGGCTGGATATCCCTTATTGCATTTTAAATCAGTAGCATCAAACTGGTAATTTCCCAAATGACATTAATGTACCTGAAGAAACAAGCAATGTTAATATTGTTACATCCAGTGTCTGCCTCCCCCTGGCTGGAAGCAGGGTGTGAAGGAGGGTGGTGCCTTAATAACAGTGTCTGTGAAGGGATCAGATTAACTCAAGAGCACTATTACTGAGGGGCACAGGTCCCACCTTGTCCTCAAGGCCTTGCTTGGGCTGATACGTCCTTTTGGAGTCTGGCGTTGTGCTGAAACGGTGGGACACACAGGGCTTGCATTTGGGGGGATGTGGAAGGGCGTTGGGTGTTCCCATCCTTCCTTGGCTGTGCTCCCCTGAGCCACTGTGTCCCACCCTCCAGACCGGAGGCTGTGGTGAGTGCTGGTGCGAGGAGGACAGCACTGCTGCTCTGAGGCAGCTGCTGCAGGTGGCATTGGCTTTCTGTGGGCTGATGCCATGGGCATGGCTTAGTCCTCAAGGGAGGAAGGTCAGGGAGGATCCCTGTAATGGTGCAGCCATGGGATACTGTGGGCAAGGTTGTGCTGTGCAGTACAGGTTCTCACTGCAAGGAGAATCTGTATTGGCTCCCCCATGCACAAGCTCTGAGACAACTTTGAGCTTTCCAAGGAGCTTCCCAAAATGGGTGAAAAAGAAGCTGAAATAGGGATTTATCAGAAGTTGCCATCTTTGTCCCCAGCAGATTCCTGCATGATGCCTTGTGCTTCCTGAGCCCTCTGAGCTCTCAGCAGGTGGATGGAGCTGCTTGGGGAGGGCTCAGGCACTCGGGAAGATGGAGCTGTTGTTAATTAACAAAAAGAACAAGAAAATTAGTAACGTCTTCCTCGTAACCGAATCCTTATGCAATGCAGATAGCTGGCAGAGAGCAAGATTTATGACGTTCTGTGTGGAGGAGAGATTTCTGATAGCGGATGGCTCTTTAATCTAGCAGGGAAAAAACACCATAGTGAGCACTGTTGGCTGGAAGCTGAAACCAGACAAATTCCGAGTAGAAATCAGTTTGAACACAGAGTAATTAAGCACTGTGACCATTTCCTTGCAGGCTCTGTGGACTCTCCATCAGGCGTTGCAGCATGGTAGGGGCCGTGGTGCTTGTGTACCCAGGGCTGTGGTGTAAGTGAGCAGCCACAGACCCCTCTGGCCTGCTTTGGCAGGAGTGTGTCTTTAGAGAGCAGCGAGATGTGATGGACAGGCTTCATTTTCGCTGTCATCTGTCTGTCCATCCATCAGCGAACCCTCCCCAGGATGCCTGCCAGGGCTGGGAACTCCACTATGGCTCCCACTCCCTGCCCTGTGCCGCGGCTGGGGAGCTGCTGGCATGCTGTGTGCTGGCAGTGCTGGGGGACCTGTTGAGCTGTGCCTGCCACATGCTGTGGCTGAGCCCTGCTGCCAGATGGCTCCTGTCCTTCCTGCCCCGCCACACCCTGTGATTTGTGAAGGTCAAGGACTGCTCCGGCACTCTGTGCTCCTGCTCTCTAATCATCTTCCCGGTGCCTGGCACTACCTGAGTGCTCTGCTCCCTCAAGCAGCACCGTAGGGCTTTATCCTGCCTGGGAATGTCTCCCTTGCTTCTCTGGAGCAGGTGCAGGGTACCTGGTGAGTGTGCTGCCCTGCACAGGGGTGATGGCAGGGCAGGAGGCTCTGTTGGCAGTGCTGGCTTCTCCCTGAGCTCCATAACTCAGCTCTACCCTCCTCCGGCATCCAGCCGCTATGGCAGCACCCCCTTACCTGCCATGAATCCATCTTCCCCATAAAATTGTTGGAATGAGCACTTTTTATCGACTGAGCTGGCTGGGATTTATGGGCTCTAACCTTGCAGTCTTAGTGTGCTCTGCTGTGATCGCTTAGGGGATTGGGGTGGGAACCCACCTGAGTTATGTACCCATTTCTTAGCACATTCCAGCCCCGGCTCCAGGGGGAACAGGGGAGCTGCCAGTGGCTTTGGACTGCACCTGGCCTGGTGTCTCAGCTGAAGAAGGGCAGTGAATCCCCTTGGCCACTGGCACAGCGTGGTTTGGAAAGCAAGCATTCAGCGAGCGATGCAGGGTGGCCCACTGGGCAGAGCATGGTGCAGGGTGGCCAACTGGCACTGGCAATTGTGTGGGACAGAGGAAATAGGGGTGGCTGCACCCCTGTCTTGTGGCAGCAGGAGGCTGCTGCCTGTGTTTTAAAATAAAGGTTGAAAAATGTGCAAGCTAGGAAAGCTCTACAGCCATCATCTTTTAGGGCTGGAGAAAGTACCCCGCTGTGAGGTAATAAAGGTGCCCAACCCATTTTATCAAGAAGATGATTTGAGAAGGGACTTGATTAACATCAGTAAGTGCTGTAATGGGGAGGAGACCAGGGACTGAGGGTTCTTTAATCCAGCAGAGAGGCAGAACAAGAACTGCCAGCTGGAAAGTGAAGTCAGACAAATTCAAATGAGAAATAAAACATAAATTTTTATGTGCACAGGTGATTAACCAGCAGAACTTGCTCCTCAGTGGAGCACCTTTTCATCTTGGCATCTGGGGTGTTGATAGGCTGCTCCAGTGCATGTGCTGCAGCCAGGGCATGCTGAGCCTGGTGCTTCCATGTGGCAGAGAGGCATCAATCTTTCCTCCTGGCTTTACTATCCCACTCCTTGTCCTTCCCCAAAAGTCTTTCAGGTCATCACATCACTGTGGAAGGAGGGGTGTGCTTGGAGATGCATGTGCTGTTTTCAGCCCTGCCATTCCTACCACGTCCCTGATCTGGCCGCAGAGCGTGGCAAGTGAAGGGATGCTGGTAATGGGAAAAGCAAGTGAATGGTGTGAGAGCCCTGGTTGATAACTCCGGGTTCTCAATGCCATGAATCCATCTGCAGTACTGGGGTGGGGTGCAGGGGCCTGGACAACTTTCTGGGGAGCACTTACCATGGATTGGGAACTGCTCTAGGGTAGGTGTGCATGGATTGCTCAGTGCTGTGCCTCTCCTACTGCTGCAGCTCTCAGGGGGTGAGAAGCACCAGGAGAGCCAGCAGTCACCCCGCTTCAACTACTATGGGGCTGAACCTGCTGTGCCAGACATCAGTGATGATGAGCTGCCCCACGTCATCGAGATCTACGATTTCCCCTCGGATTTCCGCACCGAGGATCTGATGCGCATCTTCTGCAGCTATCAGTGAGTCTGCCAGCCCTGTCCCTGGTGCTGGGGTTCCCTGCCTGGGCTCTGCTCCAGATGGCTGCCGATGCCTCACTTACCTTCCCTCTCTTTGGCAGGAAAAAAGGCTTTGATATTAAGTGGGTGGATGATACGCATGCCCTGGGTATCTTCTCCAGCCCCATAACAGGTACAGCTCCTGGTTCAGCTGGGGATGGGCAGAGAGTAGGCATCCCTCTCCCGCAGCCAGATCCTGGGCATGGGGCTGACCCTGCACGTGGATATGATGCTCTCTTCCTGCAGCACGAGATGCCCTCAGCACCAAGCACCTGATGGTGAAGACACGCCCACTCTCCCAGGGCACTCGCGCCTCTAAAGCCAAAGCCAGGGCATATGCTGGTGAGTGGTGCTGCCCTGTGCCAGCTTGTGCCATCGTGCTTGTGCTGCAACATCATCCTGATCATTGGGGAGGGATGGGGCAGGCAGCATGGCTCCACACGTGTGGGGGCTGCCCTGTCCCTCCCAGAATGCCCACTAATGTCCCCCATCTTCACAGAGTACCTGCAGCCAGCCAAGGAGCGCCCTGAAACATCAGCTGTCCTGGCCAGGCGGCTTGTGATTGGTGCCCTGGGGGTACGGAGCAACCAGACACCAGCCCAGCGAGATGCTGAGAGAAGGAAGCTGCAAGAAGCTCAAGGTGAGTTTTGGATGCTTGGAGGGGCTGCAATACAGGAGGGCCTTCCTCATGCATGCTCCTTCTCACAGGATGCTGGGTGAGTGGGGGCTGCAGCCACCTTCACAGGGAGGTGAGGTGGTAGGGATGTGGCATTGACCCTCTTCTCTCTGCAGAGAGGAAGCGCCTGGAGAACAAGCAGCGGGAGGATGCCTGGGAGGGCCGGGACTGAGCCAGGAGGCTGCACTTTCAGCCCGTGTCCCTCTCTGCAGGCAGGCAGAGCACTCTATGTGTCAGAGCTGGGACAGATTCTGCACTGTGTCCAAAAAGCACTGGGCTGCTTCACCGAAAGAGCTGAGCAGCACGTGGGCTGGTTGGTGCTGGGGGGATGCTGTTGCTGTCAGGCAGCACTGCCCATCCTGCCCAGGGCAGAGGCCCCAAGGCTGCCAGCCATAGCAGGAACAACAGCAAGATGCAGGGAGCTCAGCAGAGAGCATGGGGGACTGTGTGGGGCAGCCCTGGCCACCTGGCAGGGCCTTGTGAGTGAGAGTTTCTGTTCTTTATTTTGCTAATAAATGCCATTTATTTTATTTGCTTGCCTGGGTGGTGGCTCCCCGTTCCCTTCATACCGGGGGAGGGTGTGTGTGCCGGGGGCAGCTGCGCATGGGCCGCGCTGCTGTGGGGATGTCCACCCCTCCCAGGTGCTGGGTGTCCCCGGCGGCTGTGGGGGATGTGCAGGCAGGAGGGATCGGGCAGGAATGTGCTGGCAGGGACCCTGTTTACTTCCGCGGAGCAGCTGCAGCCCTGAACAGCAGGGCCCTTGTCAGAGCCTGGGCAGGGCCGTGTTCCTGGCCCCACACGGGGCTGTGATGTGGCCACGCTGCCGGTCATGGCAGGCTGGGGACTTCCTGCCCTGCCCCCGGGTGGGGGCTGGCACCTGAGACCTGTCTTTGGCTCTGCTTTGCATCATCTCTCAGCACCTGAAAAACAGCCCTATGTGTCCCAGCGCTCCCACCCTGTAGCTCTGCAGATTCTGAGGTTTTGGGGCCTTTCACAGGAGGTGAGGATGGGGATGATGCTTTTCTGCCACCACTGCCAGCAGTTTGCATGTTTTTGGTTGCTGAAGAGCTCATGTGGCTGCCCTGTGTCCCCTGGCTGTCCCCCAGCTTGGCAGCAGTGGAGCTGGTCATGACCCCGTGGTGGTGGCTGCCTGCCCCTGCACCATCCGGCAGCCCTGCCAGCTGGGAGCCATCTCGGCTGCTGTTCCCGGATGCTGATGGCTTGGCCGGTGGAAATTCCAGGGCACAAAGCTGCTCTCATGTGGAAAACATCTTCCCCGCCATCCGGCATCCCTCAAAGCCCGGCCCTGGCCGAGTGAGCCTCCACCAGCACGTGCCTTGCCACGGTCTCTGGCCTCGGGCCCCTCCAGTGCATCACCTCGTTCCCAGCGGCGACTCCACGTGCAGGGACCATCACGTGTGGGTGCAGCCTGACTTATCCTGGGCCGAAGTGGGTGCTGACAGCCCCCCACCCTGGGCTAGTGCCTGCCAGGAATGGACAGAGGGACAGGAATGGACAGAGGTGTGCAAGGAGAGGAGTGGCACTGCCTCGTGGCTGGCAATCTGGGGAACAGCCAGTACAGAGTGTGTTGGTGACATTCCCTTTTATTTCCTGTTGTAAGAAAGAAGATAGAAACCACGGGAGGTAAGAAACAGAGAGCAAAGGCACAGTGCACCCTGTGTCCCTACACTGTGCCCAGAACCAAGGGCTTTGAGGGACAGAGTGGCCCTACTACAGCTCCCATGTCTGGGAAGCTGCCAGGACAGCCTGGGAAAGCCCAGCACGTCAGCTGCAGACACAGTGGCTTCTGGGCTGGCTGCCAGCCCGTGTTGCCACAGAGCCGGCTGGGTCTTTTTGCATGCACAGGGTTAGCCAGTTCAGGGCCAGGCTGCCCTGCAGGGCCCATGGGGACCACTGATGGCAAGCCAGAGCTGCGTGATGCCAGCCACATGCAGACAGCCAGGGAGTTGGTGGCCCTGGGTGGCACAGGGGGAACACTGTCTGGCTGGGGACACATTGCCAAGACCAAGTTGTTCCCAGCTGGGGACTGGCTTTATGATCCTAATGGGAGAGAGTGGAGAGAAAGAAGGAGGTAATGCTGGGATTGACAAGGGAGTACCCCCTGTCCCACAGAACAGCACCCTGCTCCCAGCTCATAGAACCTTTATTGAAGACAGGACTGGTGCATGAGTGGCCGGGGACTGTCCTGAGTCTGCTGGAGCATGGGGGGCTGGGCAGGCTGAGGTAGTTGTCCTGGGGGGCCCTGGGGCTGGGGAGGTGAGGGTTGCTGTGGTACTCGGGCCACTCTTTCAAGTCCTGCTGGCAGCACAGGACTTGGCACGCCCAGGCACTCCTTGCCAGCCCTGGCGCTCATCTCCATCCTCTGCAGCAGCATCAATAAATACAAAAGTCTGCAAGTCCCTGAGCTCAGTCCACTGCTGCCAGGGCACAGGGGCTGGGGCGTGGGAGTCGAACTCTCCTGTGGCGCTGCTGGGACCATGCCAATGCCAAGGGTTCACACGAGGTTGTTGGCCAGGCGCTCCCGTCTCTCCAGATCACTCACCACGTCAGCACCGTAGGCATCACCTGGGGAGAGCAATGTTGTGGAGGTGGGTGGGCGTGTGAGGGCACAAGAAACCTGTGACACCCCCAGCCTCATCACTTCCCTCACCCTGCCTGCCATAGCCCCTACACTCCTGTCCCTCCTTACTTGTGTGGCAGCCGTGCATCCAGACACGCTGCCCATCATACTTGCACTGGCACCTCATCACATTGTTGGAGAAGTCCGACTCAGCCACCTCATGCATAGGGTTCACAACCACCTGGGGACGGCAAGGGGCAGGGCTGGGAGCACCTCTGCTATGCCCTGACCAGGCAGGGCTGTGGCATGCACAGCAGGGTACAGAGCAGCACCTTGATGTGCAAGGTGAGGGATGCTGTGGTGCTCATGGAGGGGACTCCCCAGCCCTGAGATCTGGTAGCTTGGTGTCCCCCACCCCTCCATGCAATACCTGGAAGGTGTAGCTGCCTGGCGGCACATCGGTGATGTCAATCCACTGGCAGTCGATGTCATGGCGGTAGGTGTCCCAGCACCCCACACTCACCCCCTGCTCACCAAAGTTGGCACAGGCAAAGCGTCGCTGAAGACCTGCAGCAAGGAGGGGAGGTGAGGGAGGCACAGACAGAGCCCCCTTCGGGGGCAGAATGGGGGGCCACTGTCAGCTCTGCAGCTAACACCTACCTTCGGGGCAATTGGTGTCTTCCAAGCAAAAGCTGGCCTTGTGCCCCTCGGCCACCTTGGAGCCATTAAGTGTCAGCAGATCGTAGTGGGTAAAGACCTCGATGCTGTGGAAGTGTCTGTGGGGACAGAGGCTGAGCACAGGACAGTGCCCAGCCAGGGAGCACGGGGCTGGCCCAGGCAACCCCGGCAGAACTTCCGGCAGGGCAGCAGCCAGGGACTCAGCAAATTACAACTCTGAAGCCAAATAAAGCCGTAATGACAGTGCTGGCTCAGAAGCTGTTAATTACTCCGGGTGGGACAGCCTCTTGGGGACGGGTGCCACCATGCCCTGCCTGGCCAAGGGAGGGGGCAGGTCCCTACCAGTCCCTGCCTGTGGGCCACTCACCGGTGGCACTGGTGCCAAGTCCAGGCATGACGCCCCATCCTCGGTCGGAAATCGGCTCTTCCCAAATTGTGGATCTGGGAGGAGAAGCGAAGGAGGCGGCGGTGGCCATAGGGCCATTGCATGCTGTCAGCAGAGCGGGAGAGGCAGCGCTCCTCATGGGCACAGTACAGCAGTCCCAGGGGCCGGTCCTCCAAGTAGGCTGTCTCCTGCACCAGCTGGGCATTCATCACCAGGTCTGGGGCATCTGGCATGGAAGGGATCACCAGGGATTGAGAAAGTGATTACCACCCTGCAATCGCACGCCCTACTCTCCTACAGGAGAAGGGGGGCCTCCCTCCCAGCAGTACCCCATGGGCTCCTGCTACTCACGGGCAGTGCAGGTGACCCCCGCCGAGAAGCGTCCCCCGCCGCTGGGGCAGTGCACAGGGCCATGGTGCTGGCACTGCTGCAGGGCCAGCTCGGTGCCGGCACAGCGCACCCCGCTCATCACAACCCGGGTGGCATCGGGGCTGCCTGCCCAGTACCACGTCTCCTGAACAGAGAAGGAGCACAGTGCTTGGAGCAGTCCTTGCCAGGACCCACCTGCCTCCCCTGCCTCCTCTCCTGCCGTAACACTTCCTCTAGGATTTATCCCCCTTCCCGTCCCATCCCAGAGCCCTGTCCACATTGCCCACGCTATCCATCCTGCAGGACCCCTGCAGTTCTGGTCCCAGGCTGGTACCCCACTCACCTGGAGGGCATGGCTGGCAAAGCCCAGCCCCAGCTGCCTGCAGACCACCATGGCCTCGTTCAGGCCCCACTGTGCACCGCACACTGCACCCCACTGCAGCTTCCCCTGCACTGGCACCAGCACCTCCACCACGCCTTCCTCGGGGTTGCGGCCCCCAGCCAGCCGCACCTGTTGGCAGAGAGGGGCTGAGCTATAGTGTGGTGCAGACCCCCGGCTCTCCCACCCCATGCTGCAATGGGACAAGCAGTCCCATACATCCAGCTGAACGTCTCTCTCATCTTCCTCTTCCTCCTTTCCTCCCTACAAGACCAATTTTGCCACCAGATCATCCTGCAAAACCCCATCAGGGTGCCGCTCTGTGTTCCCCCATCCCCTCAGTCACCCCAGAACTGCTCTGAGCATCTGCACTGGGCAGAGAGCTTGGGGAGCAGGGACTCTGCAATGGGGCTGGGGTTCAACAGGCTCTGGGAAGGAGGCAGGGACTCACCTGGCTCTTGAAGTCCATGTAGGGCATGTGGCAGCGGACGGCAGCATCAGCCTCGTGCTGACACCCATTCTGCTCAGCATCCTGGAAGCGACACTCACCCAGGGAGCGCTCATGGCCAGTGCACCTTACATTGCTCATATGGATGGGTCCCAGACCTAAAGCACAGGAAGGGTCAGTGCTCCCTGCTCCATGACCATCCTGGACCAGGACCCTCATCCTCCTTCCCCTGGTCTGGGCATTCTCTATGGGACTGGGGCCGCCCATGGCAGGAGCAGACAGAGTAGCCTCATCTCAGGGCAGATTGGAGCTGGGTGAACATCCCAGGATTCTCCAGCAGGACACATCACACCAGTTGATTTCCCCATTATACCCCTCCAAGCCCAGAGGTTTCCCAAGTCCATGCTGTACCACCTGCCTCACCTTGTCCCATCCGAGCTCCCACCAGGGCCTGCTTCGCTGTCCCGTAGCCCAGCTGCCGGCACACCACGCTGGCTGCAGCCAGGTCCCACTGCTTGTCACACACAGTGCCCCACTGCCCGTGGCGTAGCACTTCCACCCGGCCCTCACCAGCGTGGGTGCCCGCTCGCAGCCGCACTGGGAGCACCTGGGTACGGGGAGCAGCCAGTCAGCAACCCCAGGACACAGCCAGCCCCCTCCTCAAGGGCAAATGGGGTGGCTGAGTGCTGCTCTGGGACTTGGTGGGGGAGGGTGTGGAACTCTGCAAAGGCTCACCTTTCCTGGGGTGGTCTTGTTCTTGCCCTTGCCCGTGCCCTTCTGCAAGGCAGGGCCAGGGAGACAGCTGACAATGGCATGCATGCCGTGGGGGCAGGCGTGCTGGTGAGGGGCTGGTGGGGCCACCTGTATAGGACAGCGGGCCAGGTGGGGCTCTGAGCCCTGACACCGCACCTTGTGTACCCAGAAGCTGTTCTTCTGGCTGAGAGTCTTCAGGCTGCCAAGGGAGAGGAGGAGAAGGGCCAGGGTTAGCTTGGGTGCCAGAGACTCTCCCCCACCCAATGCTCATGCTGGGTGCCCATCCAAGGTGCCCTACCCACCATGACCAGTGCTGAGTCCTACCTGGAGTTGGGGTCCTTCAGCTTCCTGTTCCAGAGCTTTCTGTGAGTGTACAGAATCAGGAGGTGAGGGAGAATGCTAACATTGCCCAACTCTGAACCCCCTGCCCCATCATTTCTGCCCTCCTGATGGAGACCCCATGGTATGTCATATTCTCTCCCCACTGGCAATTACTGTGCCAAGCCCGTCTGTACCGTATGTCTCAACGGGATTGTGTGACTCCTGGCACTGGTAGGGGCTCATTATGGCCTGTATTTATAGTAGCAGGCTGAGACGAGGTGGGAGGGACCAAGGGACACTTGTCTTTCCTTTCCTTGCTCCCACACTTTGCCAGCCATGATGGCGACCATCCCCAAAGACGACTGGATGCTGCTGAGCCCAACTGTGACACTTGTCAAAGGCCCAAGAAGGGGATCCAGGCATGGCCAGGCCATACCAGCACCTTGCACACCCACCCATATGTGCAGCCCTTCTCTGACCACTCCTCCAGTCTCTTGTCCCCATGTGCAGCCAGGACTGCTCCACATCCCAGGTGCAGTGCATGTCTCCCACATCCCTACCGGTAGAAGCTGGTGTTGACGTGCTTCTCCCGGGGGAAGCCCAGCATCCCGCAGACCACACGGCTGTTGTTCCTGGTCCAGTTGGCATCACACACCTGCCTCCAGCGCCCATTGTGCTTCACCTCCACAGCACCCTCCATCACTGGCATGCTCAGCTTGGCCCGTGCCAGGATGGGCTTGAGCCGCACCTCCTCCAGGGTTAGTCCCGACACCTGCCATGGTATGCATGGGGTGGATGTGGGGCTCCAGCATCAAGGGCAGGGTGTTCAGAAAAGGGGCCAGGGGAAGGATTAGTGGGACCTGCTCCAGTCACGCTGGTGTACCCCGCTGAGCACAGGCAAATGCCATGGGCCCCCACTCACCTCTCCCAGATGACCAGAGGTGGTAGCCTGGGGGGAGTTGCCAGGCAGGCGCTGTCCTGAGCACACCACACCAGCATCCTCTCCATGGTGGCAGTCACTGATACCCCAACCATTGTGGACACACTCTGCCAGGGAGCCTTCGCTGCCTGCACACCGCACGTTGTCCAGCCAGATGGGGCCTGGGGGCACAGCATCCCCATAAGGATAGGCCCCATCCAGTGTGTCCTGCAAGCTGTCTGCACCCACAGTCCTGTGGGGAGGCTCCCACAGCCAGCGGGAAGCACACTGCCCTGGTCAGGATCCCCTGCCCCCATTCCCCACCTGCCCCCTACCTTCCCCTTGGCCATAGGTGGCACTGTGGGTCCAGGTGATGGCTGCGGTGTAACCCAGCTGTCGGCAGGCGACGGTGGCCACGTGGAAGTCGAAGCCGTCATCGCACACGGTGCCCCAGCGGCCCTGGTACAGCACCTCCAGCCGGCCCTCTCCAGCTGGCCCCCGTGGTCCCCCCAGCCGCAGCTGCACCGGGGACAGCTCCTGCCTGCTGGAGGCCACCCAGCACAGCAACAGCACCAGCAGGATGTGACTTGCGCCGGTTGGCATCACCATCATGGTTCTGTGGGTGAGATACCTAGGGACAGCCCAACAATGAGTCCTTGGGGACCATGGCAGACTGGGGGTGCAGCTGCAGCCCCCTTCTGCCCTAGGAGCTGGGCAATGGTGGAGGGATATCATGCCCTCTTGCACGATGGTGACATCCCTGTCCCTGTACTGAGGGGGATGCATGGGCTGGTCCCGGCCATACTCACAGCATACCCCAGCCCTACACCCGTCACCACCAGCTCTGATGCAGCCCTCCCAGGCACCGACAGCCATGGGCAGCCCCAAGAACACCGCCCTGTGCTCTTGTTGCTTTCTGTCTGGCCCATGCTTCGGGACGTGGGTGAGGGCCCCGCAGAGCCCCCTTGTATCCTCCACCTGGATTCTCTACTGAACACCAAGGCTTCTTCCCATCTTGCACACAGCCCGGTCCCGGTCACCTCACCTCTTCCCCTGCATCCTCATTCAGAGCATTGGTGGGATTGCTGACCCCCCTCCATGCGCCCAGACTTCCCCTCCGGGAGCAACCCCCGACACTCACCCTGGCAAGGGATGGCGGTGCCGGACCAGCAGCGGTGCGGGACGGGCGGTGGCGAGGGACACGGTGGTGGAGAGGGGACGCAGCGGTGGCGCTCGCGGCAGTGCAGTGAATCCCGCAGCTCCTGCCTCCCGCTGGGCACCGCCTGCAGCCGCTTTTATGGTGCGGCGGGGTGGGCCGACCCGAGGGGGCCCCCCGCCTCCCCGCCTCTGGTCTGGAGCCCAGCCCTGATCCCTGCCCACCCCCGGCCCTACTCTGCCTCACTTTGCACACTGGGGCGAACCTGTTCCTATCCCAAACCCTGTCCTTCCCCGAGCTATCCCGTGTAGACCCTACCTGCCGTAGGCTGGACTTCTCCCGAGTCCAAACTCCCTCGGACAGGGATGCTGCCCTCACTGAGCTGTCCCGCAGCCAGGCACAGCATGGACTTTCTGAAGATGACGAACTGCTGTGCTAGGGACACTCCTTGTACCTTCCACTCACTCAAGTGGGCACGCAGGCACAGGATGCCCGGAGGTGCTGCAGTGGGGCCAGGACTAGGGGGGCACGGGGACCACGGCAGGCTATGGGATCGTACCGTGAGCCCGGAGCACAGTTCTACCAAGGCTTCGGGCATCACCTGTGCCATCCATAAACCAGGCTGGCTGTGAGGGTCCTCAGGCTTAGCCCAGCACCGTGGCACGTGGAGACTGATGATGCCCCACCCGCTCCGACTTGCCCCGGGAGCAACCTCTGGCTTGGGGTGCCGCCAGTCCCCGGGGCACCCAGCTGCCCACACGCCCGCCGTGCCCCGCCGTGGGATGGGGATAAACAGGAAGCCCAGTGCCCTGGCCGTGCCCAGAGACCGGCCAGGAATGTGCCGGTGGCCACCGGACTGTTTGTTTGGAGTCAAAGCAGCCGGATCTTGCCGGGAGGAGCCAGGATCAACACGGCCGGGAATAGCCCGTGAGCTCATCGCCACGTCTCGCAAGGACCTCCAGCACCTCTGAGTGCGCAGGGATGCACAGCTCTGGGTCCCTCTCGCAAGGGACTCTCTTCTCAGCCCTCTGCCTTGGCCGAGATCAGGGCATATCCTGAAGCCTCTGCTGCCATGTGAGTCCCCGGCCAGCCCCAGAACAGAGGCCACGGAAAATTTTGGGGAAGAGCAGGGTTGGGGCCAGCAGTGGAGCCCGTGACTCATTCGTCTCGACGTTTTGGAGATCAATTGCTTAAGTGTAAGGCCAGGAGCCTCCCCCGAACTCCTCCCCCGACAGATGCTGGCAGGGGTGCAGGGCAGGCGAGTGCTGGGTCCCGCTCCCAGCTCTGCCTCTGCTCCTGGGTACAGCAAGAAGAGAGAAGTGAGGGAGGGGGCTGGTGGGCTCTCCCCCATCTGGGACCTGCCAGCCTCCTCTCGCAGCAGTACGGGCACTGTGTTCTGCAGCTCATGTGATCGTGGCGGGCTGGAGGTGTCCCCCTTTGCCCCGAGGTGTCAGCCAATGAGCCCCTCATCTCCCTCGGGGCTTACTGGGTGCCAGCACCTGCAACCCCGGGCAGCCAGCAGCGGCAGCAGCTAAAAATACGCGGCCGGCAGCAGGGCAGCCCCATGCGCGGGAAGCTGTGGGCGGCGGGCGGGCGTGCGGGGCTATTCTCAGAGGGCTGCGGGACTATTCCTGGCCGGTCAATATTGATTCAGCCAGCTCAGGTGTAGCAGCTCACCCTGTCAGCACCGTATTTAGGGCCCGGCAGGAGGCGAGGCGGGCGGCTGAATCGGGAGTATTGTCTGGCAGAGGAAGAGGGCAGGGGAGAGGATGTGAGCTCTGTAATCTGCAGCCGGTCGCTCCCAGCAGCAGCCCGGCTGAGGCGCACACTCCGGGCTTGCTGAGACTGAGGAGTGGCCAGCACGGAACATCTGCCCTGGGGACGGAGGGACGGGGCCAGAACACGTGCAGGAAGCTTCCTTCGGGAATTAGGAGCATGTGTGAGGCAGAGGGGGCAGCTCCCAGTCTTGGCTCCTGTGGTTTCTGAGCTGCTGGACACGTGTCTGCTGTACACACAGCCACCAAGAGCCGGGGGACTGAGGACACTTGGGGACTTCGGGTACCAAAACAGTTTCCAGGCAGCTCCCTGCTTGTTATAAGTACTTAGGATGGTCTGGACCTGCCTGGAGCTGGGGAACTCCACACAAACAGCCCTGCATGCGCCTGAGCCTGCATCAAGGAGCAGAGGAGAAGGTGACAGGCTGTTTGTCCCTGTTCACTATTCTGAAATGTGCCTGTCCTCTCTGGCAGCTCCCTCAAAGCTGCATCACCAGCAAGTGTGGATGGCACAGTAGGAGCTGCATGAATTGCTCAAAAACCACAGAGAGAGTGCTCGTGACAGAGCCCGGGCCAGGGTTTATTTCCATGGGCACAGACCGGGGCTGAGTGAGGCTTGCCATGGTCATGCAGGGTCCAGGAGCCACTGGGGCAAGGCTGGGTTGTGGCAGGCTGGGAGCAGCCATCTGTTCAAAGTGATGATAGCAGCTGGGAGTGCGAGGGACCTTGCCAGCCTGCACCCAGCTCTTGGGAGATGCTGCTGCCCTGAGGTGCTGGGGAAGCAAGTTGGGGATGGGCAGGGCTCTGCATGGCATCTGTAGGGCATGCTGCTGTTGCAACCCTTTGTTGGTGAAATCGGTTTCACCAATCTCATCAGAGGTGCCTGAAATCCTTGACAGCCACCTGGGCAGCATTGCGTCCTGCTGCTCCCATCACTCCTCCTCCTGCAAGAAAGGAGAAATGAGGAATGGTGGTGCACCTCTTCCACATGCCCCTTTCTTCCTTCTGCAGGCCTCCAGGAGGGTCCTGGCCCCCAGCTCTTCTCACCAGGGTGGGCTCCACTTCCACACAGGTACAGGCCTGGAATTGGGGACCGGTAGCCAGAGTAGGATGGTGCTGGACGGGCGAAGTACAGCTGGTCCAGAGACATCCCTCCATGGAAGATGTTCTGCCAACAGAGCTCCGTGTGAGCTAGGTAGCAGGGCCTGGCCTAGGCCTGTGTGCCCACTAGCACTGGCACCAGTGTGATGCTCAGAGATGACACTTATGGTACCCACTCCACCGGGAAGCCCGAAGATCCTCTCCAAGTCTGGTGGCGTCAGGATGTCTCTGCCAATGACGGATGCCTTGAATCCTGGGGCATAGTCTTCAATACAGTCAAACACTAGAGAAAGATGAAGGGACTGCTGGTGGGCAGCCTGGGAGGACATGGTAGCAAACTCCTGTGCAGCTCCATGGCTCCAGGTGTTACCAGGGTCTGTGTGTGCATTACGTACCTGTGTCTGCATATGCATTTCTGGCCTGCTCGTCCCAGGGCCGACCGCCTGCCAGCACAGATGGAGTGTACTGTGTGAACAGGGACACGACATGGCAGCCTGGCGGGGCCAGCCCTGGGTCCAGCACTGAGGGAATGCAGAGCTCGATCATGGGCCTGGGGGAGCAACACACCACTGGGCAGGCACAGGGGGACCCAGCTACTCCACACCTCTTTCCCCAGCATCTACTGCCATGACTGTCCTGTCCCTTCCCCAGTGCACCAAGGTGTGCCAGTACAGGCCCCTACCTGCTGGAGGGGTGCCCTTGGGCAGCCTCAGTGAATGCCTGATGCAGGAGCTGGGTGCCTTCGCAGTTGAGATGTATGGAGCACTGGTGGTGGGGCAGAGGCTGGCCATCACGGGCATTGGGGGCAGCCAGGAAGCTGGGCAGCCGATCCACTGCCACTGGGCATGGAGTGGGGACATGTAGCAAGTGGGGTGCAGCCTCTTGCTGAGCCTGACACCAGTGTTCCTCCAGCAGGGATGACAGCAGAAGTGTCTTTGCTGGTACCTACCATTGATCTTGGTGACAGGGGAACATGTGTCAACCTGCCGGATCCGCTGGACAAAATCCTTCGGCAGCTGCTCCTGGGGTGAGATATACGGGTGCAGAGGCTGGCTGTGAGAGGCAGTGTGAATGGAGTGATTCCAACACGCCAAGCCCCCATCAGCCCCATGCATTCCATACCTGAGGAATGAGTTCCAGAAAGGTGATCTGGGGGGAGGCATTGGACAGCACCAGTTTGCTCCTCACCTCTGTCCCATCCTGCAGCACGACACCCTGTGCCTCCCTGTCCTTGCCCAGCAGCACGTGGCACACTGCCTGGGCACGTGTAGGGAACAAGACTTTACCAAGGGCATCCCTGCTGTCGGTGGGGATGGCCAAGCAGCTCCCCTCTCCCAGACACCCCGTACCTTCTCAGCAAAGATGTGGGCTCCCCGGGCAGTCGCTGCCTGAGCGATGGCTTGGGACAGGGCTCCCATCCCACCTGCCACGTAGCCCCAGGCTCCCCGCCGTCCCTCCAGCTCACCCATGACATGGTGCAACAGCACGTAGCTGCGGTAGCAGGACCTTGGATTAGCTGCTGCTTGAGGGGATGGATCTGTCCCCTGCATGGCTAGTAAGGATGTTGCCACAGCCCCCAC